TAAATTTTATTAATACAATTTTTATTAATAAAAGTGAAAACTATTGCCCTAAGGGTGCATTGGAATGTTACCATCAATTTTGTTGAATCATAAAATAATCGCTCCTTACCAATTAGAGACCGACTACCCCTTTACATCCGAGAATTGTATCAACACAGCAACAAACTCCAGCCAGCAACAACACACAAACTCAGCACAGAAAGAGCATATAAAGTGTAGATATCAGCGTTGGCACGGTTCTTTGGTTTGAAGGAAAGAATGAGGAAGGAAAATACCTGCTCATTTATGCTCCTTCAGACTTTAACCCAAATACAGAATGAGTATATGTCCTCTTCTACGATGATAGAGGGGTGATAGAAATGAGGTCATATATATTTTTCACGCGAAGAAACTCGTATGTCGGTTCGTTTTTTTATCGTCATTGTATAAAGTTTTACGAAGCAGTCCGAAAAAACGGTAACAGGAGAAAAACAAGGGGAATAACGGGGAACAAGGCTAAAATACAGCAATAAAAAACCCGAGATGGTTCGACTCAAAACTAAGTCTTTTTACAGTCGGAAAATAAATTGAAATTAAAAATTAAAAAATATAGAGGAAAAAACCTGCGACCTCCAATTAAGTTGGTGGCAGAGATCCGAAAGAATTCTCGGATTTCTCCAGTTTTTCTCTGAGTCATTTTCAGTCGAAAAATACATTAAAAATTAAAAAACAATGAAAAAACCTGAGACCTACAAGTTGGTGGCCGAGATCCGAAAAAAAGCTCGGATTTTTCCGGAATCTTTTTTTCTCGGATCTCGGCCACTAACTTGTAGATCTCAGGTTTTTTCATGAATATCTTTTAATTTTTAATTTATTTTTCGTCTGAAAATGACTCATATTTGAGTCGAAATGTCTCGGGTGTTGGTGTTGTACTTTAGCCTTGTTTCCCGTTTTTCCCCTGTTCGTTTATTTATCTTTGGAGGCAAAGTATTCTGCGGGCTTTTATGAAGTTTCATTTCCTGAGGGAGTGACAGGAAAGAAAAACAAGTCGACAAAAGAAGATTCGCAAGCTTGTTTTGAACAATTATTCCTCCTGCTACGACTGCTCGTAAAAGTGCCTGCCATGAAAGTTGAATGGAGATAAAAAGCGTGAAACACTTCATAAAGCTGCACGTGCACGTTTGGTTGCGTGCTCGGCTACTGAAGGCGCTTCGTCGGCGCGTTGAAGGAATCGAATTAATTTTAATGGCTATCCATAAAAGAGTAGAATGCGGCGCATTCTTTGACGGCACGCCGAAGTGTAGCATCCTACCTTCTTACTCGAAGGCGAACTTCGCAAGAGACTGTATGCAGATAGGTGGTTTTTCCTTGTGAATTGCACGCTAGAATAGCACATTGAATCAGACTCGGATTTACAATTGTGTCTTATCTCTACCAATACACGTTGTCGAGTTTTCTGGATTTCAACTTAAATGAAGAAGTTGGATCTTTGAATGACAGACGGTCTCGTAATTGGACGTATTTCTATCAAACGGAACTATATGCATTGTGACGTGAGCCCTGTTATACGTGTATTCTTATGGGTCTCAGAGGTCATGTCTTTATGCACATAGTTCCGTTTGGTAGAAATACGTCCAATTTATCTATGAAGTCGCTACAAACTACGAGCGCTGTCTCCATCCCGTTCAAATATTGTGGCAATTCTGGCTTGCTACAGGAGGACGCCGTATGAGCATTCAGGCGTTGCCACATTTTCCCTCAATAAATACCGAATTTCCTAAGAAAATTCTAAATATTCTTCCTAACCTAACCTAACCTAACCTAACAATCATTTCCCTCATCCTCGCTCTTGCTCATTTCAGTATCATTTTCAGAGCATCTCTTTCAGTGTCGATCTCGCAAGTACTTGTTTTGATCTAGACGTGCCCCTACAGGCAAATTTCCAGCAATCCTCATTTTGCTTCTTACAACTTCCATTATACCCATTAGTATAGATGACCCCCAAACATTAAAGGAAGTTCAACGCATATAACTCCGTTTTCTACGCATCGCCGAGCTGTCAAGTTTGGAAATGATCCGGCAAACAGAGAATAAATAAAGCTCAAAACAATGTCAAACTGATGTAACAGCTTAGTCGTGGTCTAGGACGCTTACCGCGCGTCAGATCGTACTTGATAAGCTCAAACTATACTCTCATTTTAACTGAAGTGTCGATTTCTTCTGATATTTTATACGTGTATGATAGTATGATTTCATCGGTGTGCTCTACTGCGTTTTCTCTTTTATCAATTGTAGCATTAGTAAGTATAAATAATCATGGATTGTGCTTGAAAAATGAAAAAAATGAAAGTTTAAAAATAGGTGAGGCGTGAAAATATGCTGAATCAACAGTGTCAGCAGCAATGCTGAAAGTAGTGTAAAGTTAGCGAGTAAAAATGAATTAAATTAGGTTATGTTCCCTTCGTTTCTTTTTCATTTTCCCGATTTTCCACTGAATCTCGCGGAATAAAAAACGTATCACCGCACGATACTTTTAGATTCTGACATCAGGACCATAAAAATTTTACTTTGAAATAGTCATTACGATGGCCAAAATCGGAAAATTAGTAAATACTTCCAATTGTGACATTTCAAGTCTGCGCCCAAACTGTGTTTTTGAAAGAAAACTACACTTAAAACAATTTTTCTTGAGATATTATTTTGACTGAAAGCGTAGTTTCTTATCGAGAAAATTCGGTTTTTTGAGTTACATTACATCCGTGTGGATTTAACTTGAAGTCAGTTTTTTTAGTTAGAGAAACGTTGTTTTGTTATCGTTAAGTTTAAGTTACAAAAACAACAACAAAACAACGTTCCTTTAACTCAAAAAACTGACTCCAAGTTAATTGACGAAGACACGTAACTTCATTCTAAGGTTGCCAAATTGACCTGAATAATTCAATGATTCAAACGAATGTACCCGTGCTATTTGTGTTCAAAATTTCTCTGATTTTTGCTTGAGATAAGAGGAAAAATCATGATCATTTCAGTTGGTAGTGCCTCCCCTGTTATTGCAATTTGCAAGGGTAAAGTTGGCAACATTGAAATGTAATTACGTTCCTTCGTGGAGGAAACTACGAATCGTATGCGTTTACTGCTGTTTTTATATTTATTTGCATGACGGTATTTTTATATTTATTTGTGATTCCTATGTGATTGGTACTTGTTATTACTTATTATGCTAGCTTGACAAACAGAATGGCTGTGCCCTAATCGCAAGAAGACAAAGAATAAATCGTCATCTTCCGGCTAAAGTATCACAAGCGTCATGCGACGTTAATAAATTGGACGTATTTCTACCAAACGGAACTATGTGCATTAAGACATGAGCCCTAGGACCCATAAGAATACATGCATAACAGGGCTTACGTCATAATGCACATAGTTCCGTTTGATAGAAATACGTCCAATTTATCCGCCACTATTTTTTTTTTTTTTCTTATAGAGAAGTTGTTCAACGAGGCTATCCGAAAATTTCACTGAATTTTCTTTCTGCTGCCGATAAAATTCAGTGACATTTTCAAACAGATTCAACCATAAAAATTTCTCTGTAAAAAATAATATGGCGGCGGAAATTTTCACACGTCGCATGGCGCTTGTGATACTTTTGCCGGAAGGTGACGAAATGACGGAGCGAAAAACTTATCAATACATCGAATTATGTCATGCTTGCAGGCAACGTTAGCACCAACGAGTCAAAGTTATGATGAATTACTCGATGCATTCATAAATGTGGAAACCAATCGGAAGGCCGCTATAAAGGGGGCAGTAGAGGTAGCATCGGACCGAAAAAACAACGAGACTCTTGATCTCTTACATGGTGTCGTAGCAGAGGCGGACTTGGTGCTCGAGAACATACGGCGCTATTTCGACGCTGGTAAGGTCATGTTCGACTTGAATAAAGGAAAACTAAATCTCGCAGAAGCAGATGTCATTTCGGTAAGGGTAACACTCCGTCTTTTGTTTTAAATCGGATGGCATATCAGCCAAACCTCCATTAAGAGTTTTGAAAAAAGACCAATGTGCAAAAATAATGTTATAGATGACGGCCAGGTTGGTCTAGTGTAATGGTCTAACTCTAGGTCAATAGGTCCTGGATTCGAATCCAGGTAGTGGCGTCAAAATTTACACTTACTGACGAGTGAATCTGCAGGAACAGATTCTTTTTGGCTCTAATCGCTAAAAATGTGAAAAGCTTGGCCTTGAGCATGGATGTCCTTATTTCCGTGATGCATTCGGACAATAAATCTACGCTATGGATGACTGTAGATTCCTTTCAAAAATAGCCGATAAGCCAGCATTTTAAAAACAAATAATAAATAAAAAATAAACAAAAAGGTAAAGATGATTAATTTATAAACACGAGGGATATCATTCTGACTATGTATGAAATTGCTCGATTTTTGAAAACTCTTAAATTCCTTTACCTTCTAGTCTTTAACCTCAAAATCTTCTTCTTCTGATGGTTTATTGGCTTATATTCCAAGAGAGGAACCTACAGAACCTCAAAATCATGCTAATGTTAGGTCTCGATGAAAAAATATATTTTCAAAATTATAATTTTCAACGTTTCGGTAGTTTACTTCAATTTTTCACGTATTAATAATGTAAATTTGGTTTTGTCTTGTACTTCATATTTTGTAATTGTTGTTCTCTTCGAAGCGTGTGGTCCTTACTCTGATTTTCAATTCTTAAGACTTCTCTTTAATATGTATCCCTTTACTTTTTCCGCTACCATTAGTTTGAGGTTAAGTTAGGAACCCAACAACATCGCAGTGAAAAAATTGAAAACACATATCTAACTATTCAATACGAATAAGACCTCATTTTCATCTCTCTTCTAGAAAACTCGGCTCATGCAAGAGAAGAGTTATTTGAAGGATCAACTGCATCAGCTGGCCGCAACCCTTAAAACTTTAAAGGCTCAAATGAAAGATCTGCCAAGAGACTTGATGAACATTCTGCAGCCAGTGATTCGCAGCATCGAACAGAGTAAAGATGCATTCGTTCCACTCACGCGGCAATTTCGAGTATGCCTGGATGAAATCAAACCGACCCTAATTGTACCGGGACACAAGACGACTTCCTAAATATGTATCGATAGAAAAGTTTTTTCGAGGACATGTTCGGCACACATTTACATCCGAAAGATTACAAATCCCATTTAAAATCCTCGAAAGATATGTGTCATTGTGTCAGTCACACACCAAGAAAAAAATCTAGTCAATTAGTAATCGGTATTTTTTGTGTGAAGAAGTCCCGCATAAAGTATGCAATGGACCACTAGACAAGGTACGAATTTCAGCATTCTGATACATGTTTCTTTACAAACTTTCACGTAGAACACGATGCGCACAAAAAAAATTACCGAAATCAATTCCTTACAAAGATGTTTAATGATTCTTGAAGCGTGAATTCAAACTACCCGCTCATTAAAACTCAATGCTCTACGTAATTCACATCGCGCGCTAAACATTATCATGACAGTCTCTAAGATATAAAAATCCGGCAACCTCAATCGTGACGCTTTGGCTCAGCTGCAACAAATTGCTTATAGTTTGAACAACACACGGTGGGAAATGAACATTACTCGATTGAAAAGCTTGCTGAAACCGTTGTAGTGCGCGATTTGACTCACGTAGAGCTTTGAGTTTCTTGTGAGCGGGCAGTTCAAATTCCTCGTAACCAATGTGAAATAAAAACTTTAATATCTTCGTTAGGAGTTAGTCTCAGTAATTTTCGTAGCGCAAATCGTGTTTTACGTAAAATTTTGATTGAGAAACATGTATCAGATTGCTTAAATTCGTACCTTGTCTAGTGGTCCATTTTTACTTTTTCCTGTACTAAAAACAGAATCTAGATGACAAGTATCTCCTTACATGGATGCCTAGTCTGTTTAGAAATGAGTGTATCCAAGTACATAAAATATATAAAAAGGGGGTTTTTCGTATCAACGTTCCAGATCCATAGGGTATATTCAGCTCTAAGAATGAGTTATTTCTCGGGAAACAGGCTCCAGAACTCTTGTATATTTGCGAAACTGGGATGAGCAGAGGTACAGGGGGAAGGGGTTTGAAAGTTCAAGCATTGAAAGGAAGCTAATGATGGAGGCCCGAAGCAGGAAGGCAAGGAAGTGGTTGTCAAAATGCCACCGAAATTCGCCTTCCATCCCCGAAAGATGTAGAATACTCATTCCAGGTCAATATACAGCGTTGCAAAGAGCATTCAATAGTAATTCAACTTGAAGGAAAATTATCAACCCTTTGCTATGCTGAAGTACCGAATGTGGACTCATAGTTGCACCACATTTTAGGGATTGAAATGAAGAGTTTTCACGAGTGTTGGAGTCCTCAGTTTTTGCATTCTGAGAAATAAACTGCTGAAAGAAGAATAATGGGTTTCGTCGCAAAATGAACCTACAATGAGATTTAACCATCCAATCGCACATCACGTCCAGCAATCTTTCGCAGCAATTTTCCTTAAAGTTTTTTTTTTTTTTTTCTGCTGGTTTAATGGCTTCGTGTCAAGCACCTTCAGCCAACTGTAGGCAATGTTTAGTGTCCGTAGACATCGTGGGATCTCCATGCTCCAGGCTTTTCCGATTTTCAGGGTTTAGGGCCGAGGAGAATCTGTTTCAGCAGATCTGCTCGTCAATTCCATGAAAATGGACTACTAGACAAGGTATGAATTTCAGCATTCTGATACATGTCAATCAACCAAAATTTCACGTAAAACACGATGCGCACAACGAAAATTACAAAAATTAACTCCTTACGAAGCTATTTAGTGATTCTTGATGTGTGAATTCAAATCACCCGCTCATGAAAACTCAATGCTCTACGTGATTCACATCGAGCGCTAAACGTTATCATGGCAGTCTCTGCTATATAAAAATCTGGCAACCTCAATCTTGACACTCTGGCTCAGCTATAGCAAATTGCTTGTAATTTAAACAACACGTGGTGGGAAATGTATTTTGCTTGATTGAGAGGCTTGCTGAAACCGTTGTAGTGCGCGATTTGACTCACGTAGAGCTTTGAGTTTCTTGTGAGCGGGCAGTTCAAATTTCTCGTAACCAATGTGAAATAAAAACGTTAATATCTTCTTTAGGAGTTGATTTCAGTAATTTTCGTTGCACGAATCATGTTCTACGTAAAATTCTTGTTAGGAAACATGTATCAGATTGTTTAAATTCGTACCTTGTCTAGTGGTCCATTAGATGTCATTACCGGGATTCGAACCCGGAACCTATTGACCTAGAGTCAGACGCGCTGACCACTAGGCCAACCTGGCCGGCTTCCTTAAAGTTCATCTTGAAGTTCATCGTGCCCTCGACGAATCGAGTCGCCATGAATCCGATATTCCTTAGTACAATGTTCCTGGTTTTGAAAACTTACCCAGCAAGTTTCATCTCTCCTTGCATTGTTTTACCGATTTTCAGTTTGCCTGGGTACTTTTTTGCACGGTTTCCATCATTTCACGACTAATAATCAAGAACATTGCTTGCCTGGCCATGCAAACCAATTTTGAAACCCGATTTATATCTTACAATGACATGCGATTAAACTTCCTAAAAATGTATACTTCCAAAATCTTCCCACAGGCTCGAAGAAAACTTTGTCAAAAATTAAACTTCTGCAAAAAACCTCTCCGCCATGCTTTATAAACCATATTCAAGTTTCAGTATCAATGTGGATGCTAGGTGAAGATTTGCTAGCACCTTGCAGGAGGTATCTGAGTAAGTCCAACGATGCGATTTAAAACACTGCAAAATACGAAAGTAGAGCGAAAGAAAGGGTACGTGTTGATGACGGCGCAGTGATACAACTATTCGTACGTGATGGATGTCCGTGTTGCATCTTCAAAATTGAAGGCGCGATGGCGCGAGGCGTGAACTCGTAATGCTCGTTCCGCTACTACGCTGCCAATGAAGTGTCATTCTGATTCGGGAGAAAAGTTAAGAAACGAGGCCCGAGTACGTCTCTATATCCTATCTTCACTTGCGTTAACAGTAGGATTTTTTGAACAAGATTAATGCTTTTTTTTAGAAATTTTGACACTATACTATGCACTACGCAAGTCAAAATGCGGCAAAAAAAGAAGAGGTATATGTTTTTATAGGAAACGGATTTTTGGAACAAATAATTCAATTTATACTGCACGGTCCCTCTTGTCCTCTTTCCCCAGGCACTCAGTGGATCGAGGAAATTAGAGAGGTTGTACATGCAAATGCTGACTAGAACTGCAAATTTTGATGTTGATTTCGTCACATTTTAAATTGCAAGGTGTGCTTTTTGAAGAAAATTTTACGAGGAAACCAATGGACCCACTTTTAGAACCTCAAAGTTTTGTTTAAACGGAGTTGTAAGGGTTTAATGTTTCCTAATTTTGTCCGACCTCTCCTATTGACTCGATCTACTGTGTGGCAGGTCAATGCGCACCACTACTAAAATAACTAATCGTCGGTAAAATAGTTGTGTGACTCTGAGGACGTTGCCAAATTTCATCTGATGATGATACTGGAAGAATCAAGATTATTTCTTTGTTGTTTTCCAGGTAATTGAATTTTCACTAAACTATAGTACGCAATAATTTTTAAAGAAATATTTATGACGTTCGTCAAAAATACCTCATATGATAGGTAAATGCTTTATCGGGGGGAGTTTGGCAACGTCTGATTAGGGTAGCGGGGGCGAGGACTGGACGAGTGCAAATGCTCGATGAACAGCGTTAATCACGCTCTGGGCTCTGGGTTCATTTCAAAAATAAACACTTCACAGATTTCCCTTTGAAAAAAATCGGGGAAAAGGGAAAACAATGCCTGCCCGGCCAACGGAGGTGACAACAAAGGCACTGCTAAAGGAGGACGAAGGGAAAGGGCGGGCTGTGAAACTCAAGCTACATAGCCGGTTTGATCGAAAGACAATATGAACCGATGCTGGGCTACTAATTTTGGACGCATTTTAGATACAATGAATCTTCTTTTGGTTTCCCTATTGGAAATGATACTTCTACGTATAAATAATGTTGTGAGGTGAAGAACGAACACGAGAACCGACTTGGATGAATATATTTTATCAAGTGAAGTTCATGTTAGAAAAGATACGAAGAGATAGAAGCCATGATGATGAACCTCAAACAGTCACTCTAACTGAGTGATAACAGGGCACACGAGCAGAGCCAGTGTGACGTCACATGATGACGTCATGACATCATGTAACAAATAAGACATAGTTCGTTATTGCAAAAGTTGATCAAACTGAAAAAAGTGAAGGAACAAAGCGATTGCCGCATCGGATGTACAACTATTTCCATAGCCATTTTCTATCGTCATTTTTAGGTGTTATCATTTGTCATTGAAAATGAGTCTTAAGATTACTTCGCAGGGTTTTGGAGGCACATTGTTTGGGCTTTCAAGTAAAAATTTAAGATAATTTTGCGAGCAACTTATTGCACACGCGTTTAACTATAGCCACCAAATCACCTAAAAGAGTATAAATGTGCTCCATCCTCAACAGGAGATTCCAGTTTGAAGGCTAGAAAATACAATATATTCAAGATTTGGGTCACGCAACTATTCGAGCATCGAAGTGGTCGTTTTGCATACTCGAGGAAATGAAGGTGAATAATATTTCCAGTCCTTCCGAGTCAGTCGTGATTTACACACCCCTATTAAGAGCACGATTGATAGTTGCGCATGTGCTCAGTTGGACACATTTTGCAATAAGAAACCACTACTTCTGACTCATGTTTCGAATGAATTACGTTCCTTTAATTCCCTCTTTGAAACCAAAGGCTCATATTTTATTTCTAACATTAGCCAGAGGGACTGGTTACTTATCGCAAAATGTGATCCAACTTGCAGAAACGCAACTATATTAATCGCGCGCTCAATAGTAGTGGATAAAACACGACTGACTCGGAAAACTTGGATGTAATTTTTTTTGCCTTCATTTCCGCAAATGTGTAAAACGACCACATCTATGCTCGAATAGTTGCTTGACCCAGATCTTGGTTAGCTCTTGTTTATTCTAGCTCTCAAAACTGAAAGACTTGGATCGAGAAAATTTAGAGAAAAATTGAGAGGAAGGTTATTCTGCGACATCGGGGAAGAAATAAAATAATGTTCTGCAGAACTGATTTACTATCGTTGTTTCTCTCGCAGTCACTCAAAGATTTTGGCTTGTAAGTAATTTTAAATAATAGCGTGTTGAACCATTACAGGATCAAATCTGGTGACTCGCGCCTGCCTGACTTCTATAGCAAGGCTGCAAATT